ATATTTGTTGTTTGTACTGCCCATGTAACTCTCTCTGTCTTTCTCATCCTCAATGCTGCCATATTGGTCACTCACATTTGGTACATTGCCCTTCTTGAAGAGCACTTTTTGCAGCTGATTTGCCCAGTGCTGTATGTCATCTGATGTCCTGACTGCTGCTTCCATTGGCATCAATTGTAGAATCAAGCAATACGAAGTCTTTGACAACTTCAATCTTTTCTCCATTCATTGTGATGCTGCTTATAGGTCCAGTTGTGAGGATTTTTGTTTTCTTTGTATTGAGGTGTAATCTATATTGCAGACTGTAGTTTTTAATCTTAATCAGTAAGTGCTTCAAGTCATCCCTCACTTTCAGCAAGTGAAGTTGTGTCGTCAGTGTATCACAGGTTGTTAATGATTCTTCCTCCAATCCTGATGCCATGTTTTTCTTCATATAGTCCAGCTTCTTGGATTATTTGCTCAGCATACAGATCGAATAAGTGTGGTGAAAGGGTACAACCCTGAAAACACTCTCTTCTTGATTTTAAACCATGCAGTGTCCCCATGTTCCATTTGAACAACAGCCTCTTGATCTATGTACAGGTTCCCCATGAGTACAGTTAAGTATCTGGAATTCGTATTATTCTCAGTGTTACCCATAATTTGTTATGATCCACACAATGCTTTTGTATAGTCAATAAAGCACAAGTAAACATCTTTCTGGTATTCTTTGCTTTCAGCTAAGATCCATCTGACGTTAACAATGATATCCCTTGTTCCATGTCCTCTTCTGAATCCAGCTTACATTTCTGGAAGTTCTCTGTCGATATACTGCTGCAACCATTTTTGAATTATCTACAGGAAGATTTTACTTGCATGTGCTATTAATGATATTGTTTGATAATTTCCACATTCTTTGGGATCACCTTTCTTTGGAATGGTTACAAACATGGATCTCTTCCAGTCAGTTGGCCAAATCTCCTGGCATAACCAAGTGAGTACCTCCAGTGTGGCATTCATTTGTTGAAACATCTCAATGGGTATTTCGACTCCTGGAGCCTTGTTTTTCACCACTTCCTTCAGTGCAGCTTTAACTTCTTCCTTCAATACCATTGGTTCTTGATCATATGCCACCTCTTGAAATGGATGAA